CTGAGGCAGGCTGAGGTTGAGGCCGAGGCTGCAGGCAGACAGAGTCTGAGGCTGAAAAAAGGCTGAGGCTGAGCCTGAGGCAGGCTCAGGCTGAGGCTGAGGCTGAGGCAGGCTGAGGCTGAGGCTGAGGCAGGCTCAGGCTGAGGCTGGTGCAGGCTGAGGCTGAGGCAGGCTGAGGCTGAGGCCGAGGCTGAAGGCAGGCTGAGGCTGAGGCTGAAGCCGGCTGAGGCTGAGGCAGGCCGAGGCTGAGGCTGAGGCTGAGGCAGGCTGACGCTGAGGCAGGCTGAGGCGGATGCCGAGGCTGAAGGCAGATTGAGGCTGAGGCAGAAGCAGGCTGAGGCTGAGGCAGAGGCAGGCTGAGGCTGAGACTGAGGCAGGCTGAGGCTGAGGCTGAGGCTGATGCAGGCTGAGGCTGAGGCAGCCTGAGGCTGAGGCAGAGGCTGAAGGCAGACTGAGGCTGAGGCAGAGGCAGGCTGAGGCTGAGGCTGAGGCAGGCTGAGGCTGAGGCTGAGGCAGGCTGATGCCGAGGCAGGCTGAGGCTGAGGCTGAGGCTGGTGCAGGCTGAGGCTGAGGCAGGCTGAGGCTGAGGCCGAGGCTGAATGCAGACTGAGGCTGAGGCTGAAGCAGGCTGAGGCTGAGGCAGGCTCAGGCTGACGCTGATGCTGAAGCAGGCTGAGGCTGAGGCTGAGGCTGAGGCAGGCCCAGGCTGAGGCAGGCTGAGGCTGAGGCCGAGGCTGCAGGCAGACAGAGTCTGAGGCTGAAGGCAGGCCGAGACTGAGCCTGAGGCAGGCTCAGGCTGAGGCTGAGGCTGAGGCAGGCTGAGGCTGAGGCAGGCTGAGGCTGAGGCTGATGCAGGCTGAGGCAGAGGCAGGCTGAGGCTGAGGCTGAGGCCGAGGCCGACGGCAGACTGAGGCTGAAGCAGGCTGAGGCTGAGGCTGAGGCAGGCTGAGGCTGAGGCTGAGGCAGGCTGAGGCTGAGGCTGCGACTGCGACTGCCGTTGCCACTGCGACTGTCACCGCGAATGCGACTACGACTGCGAGAACAACAGAATTCTACAATAGGGTTCTCATCTGGATCTTTAAAGGGATTGCTTCCAGAGGTGTCCCTACACTTCGCTGTTCGGTTGCTTTGCCGGGAATATCATCCTTTCTTGCGTTTTAGTCTGTCCCTTCGATGAACGAATGATAGTACCATCATCGTTCCGTTTTGCTTGGCGAAGAAAATACCAGTGTCGGATTTGTTGTGCAGTCCAACTTCTATCCAACCAGTGTTGCATCGTCTCTGCAGGTATGCGCTGGCGAGCCAATCCAGGTTTGTTCCAGCCTTTCAAACGCTGTAATTGGCCGTATGGATGTTCTTCTTCTTGAAGCTGATCGTCTTGAGGCCGATTTCTCCGCAGACGTTCCCTCCTCGGGGGGGCATGCGCTCTTGGCGCCCTCCCTGGCGGGCCACTTGAGGCCCCCGCCCCAGGAGGATGAGGACGCTGAACACCGCTCGAACGAGCACCACTGGAGCGGGCTCGCGCCCGATCCGGTGAAGAACTAAGAGCTCGACCGCGACGTACCGTGCGGTCATCCCGCTCATCTTCGTCGCCCATTGGCGAAAGACTTGGATCGTCGTGATAATTCTTTTTTCTAATGAAGGGCACGCGACGCGGCGATTGTCTCGGACTGCTCGCAAACCGATCTGACGCAACAGAAGTGCACTGAAATTCTTCATTGTGTCCAAGCTCATATTGAATACGTTCAGACACGTCGCCAGCGTCTCGCGGGCTTCCCCGCAATGGATTATCGTCGATCGATTCCGTATTTGTCGGATTTCCAATCACCCGAGGATAGAGCATGGCATGAACTTCTTCATCTGTCGCAGGAATGGTAGACTCGGGGTCCGCGGGTGCCCCCGGCATACCGAAGTCATCTTCGACGGGCATGTGGAAGTTCTCGGCAAACTCAATATCTGCAGGTTGCCCCGCGATGGGTATACCCTGCCACTCTGCCAAGTCGATGTCGCCATGGCCGGTGAACACCTCTTCGAACAGCTCGTCGGCGTAACTCTCGAGGTTCATGCTGGCGCACAAATGCCTGGCACCCATGAAATGAATAACAAGCCACACAAGCAGGGTCAGCCAAAAATGGCCCCCAGTCGACGCGCTGCATGTCGGAGTCCGTCTGAGCCGAATGTATTGACGGACCCCTGCCACTTCCATCGCCTTGGGGGCATTCGCGTCGGACATGTTGTGCGCTGTGGCATATGTCGCACTCCATAGTTTTACCGTTGGCATCCTTCGGATCCCCTCGTCGCCCTTCACTTTTGCCTGACGTATGCCTACGGTTCCTGCCATCGCCTAAAAACATTTCTTCGTACTGAGGCCCCGTGAGAGATGCTCGGAATGCTAGTATGCCTCTACCGTGTAGTCGCCGACGCTTACCTTTGTCTTTACTTCGACCCTTGCCTTTTCCTGTGAGTGCCATACATCTTACCTTTCTGACTGACGTCTTCATGACAAACCACTGAGCTTGCTGCTCTTCAGTCAGGTATGCAGGCATTTCAGAGTAGTCCAGCGTGGTACTTTCATCATCAGAAGACGCATCGGTGTCGGTACCGGAGTCGAGATCGGACTCGGCGGGTTGCCCCGCAGAGCCCATTAAAATCATAGCTTGTACAGGGGAGACCGCGTCGGGTGGTCCCCTAGATCTGGCCCAGGGGTCTTGAGACCCTGAGGCCGTGCTGCCATTCTGGGCCAACAATGTAGTGGTCTCAGACGGCGGCATATCATCGTTCCACACGTTGTTAACAAGTTGCCCGTCATTGGCCTCTGTATGGAAGGTCTCGGCTCGGTGGCCGTGACTAAAAAACCACCGATATTGCCAGGAGTTCTCTCAGCTATCTGAGCATATGACCTCATACGTTCGAGGAGAACATCGAAGTGTGCGTGGTCCCTCGGCATATGGTGGTTCAGTGGCTGCAGGAGCTGCTGTGCCCGCGACGTCCCCACTCCCAGAGCTCTGAATAAAATTACTGCTAACATCTGGAAGTTGGGGATGTTGAGGCCGGCGGTTTCTGCCTCGTAGCGGGCTATTTCGAACCGTGCTAACGACTGGTCGATTCTTTCTCCCGCATGGACACGAAAGTCAATAAGAGCCGTGCCAGAATTGAATTGGCGTTCCTCTTCTAGGTTCTCGAACTTCGCACTGAAGAGGAACATAATGTAGGTGACGCCGTCAGTGTGGCGACCACCTATATTGACACCAAAATTGATGACTGCTGGGGTAACTCTCATGGCTATGGTCCGCGCGAGCCCTCCAAGACCGCGCTGGAGTGCGGCGGCCTGTTGGGAGGGCGTTATGTTGCCTGCGGCCACGTTGATCCAGGCGCGTACCTCGCGGACAAACTCGCGAAATGGTACTTGACCGGCAAGATCCCAGTGGGAGCCGGTCGTCCTAGTGTCGTTTCCGCCCCGCATATGTCCCACCGCACATCCAAGAGCGACCCAGATGAGCCCAAAGATAGTAACCCCAATCCAATGGCCTCGTAGGTCTTAGTCGGGTGTAGTCGGTGGAGACTCGTATTTTGTCGTCGTAAGTCTGCGAGGGGTCGGAGGCGGCAGTATATCGCATCGCATGTCTCCATGCATTATATCTTCGAAGAAACTTCCACTTGAGTAGGTGGGTGGACTTCAGGAGTGTACTAGCGCAGGGATGTAGTATATGAACGAGAGACCTCCGCTGGAGCAGAGGTGTCGTTGCAAGTTTCCTTGCGGTACTGCGTATCTATGTACAGTCCTCCGCGCAATGCCACTGCACCCTGATGTTCCACCGTAGCTGTAGTCCACAAGATAGTACCGTGAATGGAGAGGAGTAAAGCTAGAGCTGACCACCATAGGCCAGCTCCGCTACCAAGTTTGAAGGGGGCTGGGAGGCCCCGCCAACAGCTTCGCCTCAGGCGAAGCCAAGCTGCAGCTCGGCTGTATCGTAGTAGCGATAGTCCCAATGCAAGAGGGGAAGCCATGCCAAGTAAAATGGGATGCCTTTTAGTATCGATATCGGTCGTGTGCCTCGCGGTGAGGCACAGTCAAATCTAGGCAGCCGGCCGCTTGAACCAAGACGGCCGCGGGCGCACGTTCGCTTCCGCTCCTTACGTCCCCCAGCTCGCTTTAGAGTACGTTGGCCCAAGATGGCCTCCACGATGGTCCAAGATGGCCTCCAAGTCCGCCCAAGATGGTCCAAGACGGCCTCATGACGGCCCAAGAGAGTCCAAGATATCTCCAAGTTCGTCCAAGAAGCCTCCAAGACGGCCCAATACGACCCAAGAGGCCACCAAGAGGTCCTCCAGGAGGGTCCGAAGACGCCAAACTCATTGATTCTCTCTGGGTGTTTGAAGGATGTTGGCATGTGTTTCTTCTCGGCATTCCGACGGATCAAGAGGGCCCACGAGGCCCCCAAGATCGCCCCAAGATCGCCCAACAGGCCTCCAAGGTGGCCCCATGACGGCCCGAAAAAGGCACCCAAGACGGCCCCAAGAGGGCCCCAAAACGGCCCAAGAGGCCTCCAAGACGCCCAAGATTGCCTCTAAGAACCCGTGATATGCCCCAAGAGGGCCCCAAGACGACCCAGACAGGCCCCCAAGACGGCTTCCGACGGCGTCAGACAAGCCAGGAACACCCCAAGACGGCCAAAGAGGCCCGCAAGAAGCCCCCCAAGGCTCCCCAAAAACCCTCCAAGAGGCCCCCAGGAAGCTCCCAAGTGGCCCCAAGAGTGCCCCAAAAGGCGCCCAAGAGGCCTCCTCCTCCTCCTCCTCCTCCTCCTCCTCCTCCTCCTCCTCCTCTCTTTTCCTCATCCTCCCCCTCCTCCTCTTCTTGCTCCCCCACACGTTCCCCGAAGTATTTCCAAACCGACTCGGGGAACAACTGGCCCGATAGCATGGCCAAGCTCTGTCCCAGCTGTCGGCCACAGAGGCGCTTCCTAAGGGGCAGGGGACGGCGGTGATTCGCCGTAGGCGTCTTTGATAATGCATTCCTGCGGCTAGCACAGGCTGCACAATGCCTGCTGCCAATGTCTAGCGTGTTGAAGATCAAAATTGGAAAGGGCACGACGTTTCGTCGCGGTCGAGACGCCCCCTGCTCGCTCCCTCGCGTGCCGCAACAGAATCGCGCGCTCGCCAACGCGAGCCGTTCCTCTCGACAAAGTCCAGGGCCAAGTCCCGCTCGAGTTATCCGACTTAGTCCCCGCAGCCAACGCGCCTCGGCCGACTGTCAATGGAGGCGATTCTCGTGTCCGCGGCCGCGCCGAAAGGACCCCTTGATGTCGTGCATATCTCATAGGTGAGGTCGTGCTGCTTCCTCTGGTGTCCTGGCGTCAAGAGCATGGGCAACCCACCTCGAGCCTGCGCCACCCCAACGTCGATCAAGCCGCTCGCACCTTGATAACCCGGATATGGTCACGGGCCTCGGCTGGCAGCTGCAACAACGGCACGTCGAGACCTGCCAATGCAGTCCCCAGCGCCGCGTCCTCGATGGCCCACGCCTTCCAGCTCAGCGAGGCCAAAATACCATCTCCAATTCCTGCGATGAAGGCGGCGACAGCTGCAGACATGAAGTAGCCGGAGGCCTCGGGATAGGGCGGGTACACGCTCAAGCCCAGATCCTCGGTGTAGCGCGGGTTGTTCCACTGCGGGTTATGCGTGTCGTTCACGAGCACCTTGTTCCCGTGCAGCACCGTACCGAGAATGAACGGACGGCCTGGCCTCACAGGCGCATCGCAATGGCCCGAGAGCGGGTCTCGCAGCAGCGCCCGCAACCCGTACTCGTAGACCGCGGAACCGCTGGTGTCGTGAGGGCCCCGCCCTCCGCCGAGGCCGCCGGGCGGCGACGACGGGCACTTTGCGAACAGCGCGCACTCGCCGTCTGGGCCGACGGAGAAGAACCTTCTGTGGCAAAACTCCTGCGAGCCTCTCATGCCATCGTGCTGGCTATTGCGAATCCACGCTAACCGACGCTTTTCGACGTTCATCTGCACCAAATCGAGGCTAACCGACGCGGAGCATTGGCGCTCTTTCTCATCGATTACCAGACGCTGGAGTAAGCTAATACACTCGGCAAACGGAATTGCGAGGACATATGTAGAGGCCTCCTAGATGAAGTCCGAGTAGACGGGGTCGAAGGATCGCGCCGCATCGCCGATGCATCGGCGATGCATCGGCGACGTCGGCGGTGCATCGGCGACGCCAGCGCTGAGAAAATCGGGCTCCGCATCGAGCCGCATCGGCGTAGCATCGGCGATGCTAGACATCTGGAAGGCCTAGACATGCAAGGCCGCTGCTCGGACCCCATCTGGAAGGCCTAGACATGCAAGGCTCCCATGAGATTGCTACCGAAAGGACCTGCACTGGCGTCGCACCGCGCACTCGGTCTGGCACCCGAGAGTCCCGACGCTGGCCCTGCGCCAGAGCGGCTCAGCACAGGCCGCGCCCATTGACCCGTCCGTGCGAACGACGGCCCCTCCCCGCGACGCCAGCATCGCCAGGGGCAGCAAGAGCGGCAGCGGCAGCACGGAGTCCACATCGGCGCGCGCGAACACTGCCACGTCAAAAGAAGCTAGCAGCGCGCGGTACGCGAGTGCCATCTTCCGCAGGAGACCCGTATACCCGTGCGCGCACTCCACAACCATCACGTCGCCTCCGCCCGTGCCGGGCTCCGCTGCAGCCTCCGCGTCGGCTGCCACCTCCGCGGCCCCAACATCTTCGGACGCGAGCACAAACCGGTGTCGGAGCGTCAGCGAGCCGCAGCCGCCTCGCAGCCAGGTGCTGCGCGCGCTTGCCATGAGCGCTGCGTCCGCCACCCGCGCGGGGATGACGACGAACACGTCCACCTGCGGCTTCGCCCCTAGCGCGTCGACGGAGAGGGGTGGCGGCGGTGGGGCGGCGGCTTGGGGCGCCAGCAACGCGTGTTCGAGCGGCACCATGTCGGCCCTGGGCTTTGGCGGAGGGAAGTGCGTGGCGGCGAGCTGCACGAGCCTCAACCAGTAGCAATCAAAAGCTTCCTCGGTCAAGTGGCGCCTCGCCCAATCCCGCGCCGCTGTTGCGACGCTCCGCGCCGCCGCCTCGTCCGCGCGAAGCTCCCTCAGCACCTGCCCGGCGCCTTTCCACGCAGGATCGACCTCGACGAAGTGCTCACCGCTGTGCAGCTGCGAGTAAAACCACTCGTGATACCACAAAGGCGACGTGACCACAACCGAACCGCACAGCAAACGGTGCTTGAAGGACAGGGCCATCGTGTTCCCAGGGAGGTTCGCGAGGTATCTGTACCTGCACCACTCCGCCAGGGGGACGCACGTGCCGTCGACCACTCCCTGCCGTCCGCTGGAGGCGCGGCCCCACTCCAGAAAGGACACGTTCGTGCCCTGGAGCGCCCCGATGTGGGGAACCACCTGCTTCCTCACTGCCGATGTTGCCGCACCACGCCAGAAGAGCTGGTCCACCTTCTCCTCCCACTGCGGCGTCTGCAGCAAGTCCTCCGCCGTGCGATGCCAGACGTGGGCCCCAGGCGGCTCTGTGGGGCACTCGGACTCTGGCCAGGCGAACGAAGAGAAGTCGGGATACAGGATGCCACCAGCGGACTGAGGGAACTTGGCGATCACGAAGAGCGGGGCCTCCACGCTGGAATAACCATCCGACGTGTCCACTACAAACTCCGCGTCGGGCAATGGCCCGTGCTTTGCAACCACCCTCTGCAAGAAGGCCTGGGTGATCCGGTTCCGGCTCTGGAATCCTGGCTGCTCTTCGGAGATGTGCACCCGGCCGCCGATAACCTTAACCACGAAGCAGGCGCGGCCCTGCTGTCGGCACAAGTTGCGGGTGCGCTGCGCATCCCACTCGCTGAGGCCGCGAAAGGGTGCGAAATCCTGCTCTGCCTGCGTGTAGAACCCCTCTCCGAAAGCCTCACACTCGGCCGGCAGCCCCTCCGTGCAGCGGCCGCGCGCCAGCAGACTCAACGCCCAGAGCCCGGCGGGGCCACGACGGCCACCGCCCTGTGTGCGCCTGCGCCCAGCAAGGGGGCTCACCACGGGCATCGCCTCCCCCTGGGCGCCGCGGCTCCTTCGAGTCCACAACGACGGTGCCATCCTCAATACGGCAAATTCGTGTCGTGACGACCCTGGCGTCAGTGTCTGGCACCGCGTGGCTCATTCTGCCATGAAAAATCGGCGGCTCCTCGATCCCGTGATCGTCCCGTAGTGGCCGATGCTGGGCCGCTGGCGACGTTCAACCTTGAACGCCCGCGCTTCTGACGGAGTCACCGTCAAACAAGCACAATGAGAAGGGCGCCCAGCTTTCCGCTGGCGGAGCAGCCCTGGCCGCGCAACCCTTCTTCGGACCAAAGGGCAAGCAGACAACGAAAAGCGGGCCAAGCAAGGAATACTAAGGAGCGGGAAAGCGAGGAGACGAGAAGAGCAGGAAAGGAAGAGCAGGGGGAGGACGACAAGGAAGGACGCACTGGGCCGACTGGGGTCACTGCCGCTTCGACACAACGCGAACCTACTATAGCGTGTCCTGCTAGCTGGGAGCGGACTCGCAGGGGTATGGCACGCACCACTCCTGCCAACTTCCCTGGGCGTCGCCAATTTAGAGCACGGGCTCATCCCAAACGGATCCCTTTTTACCTTCGGGCATAAGGTGTACGGCTTACCCTCAGGACAACACAGGACAGGACGCCGTCCCGGAGGACGTCCCTATGGGGACACGATGGCGCCGGAACGATGGAAGCACGTTGGCTCCACGATGCCCAAAAGCGAAAACGAAACCTACACTCTTGACGATCCAGCCGAATGCCAGTGAGGACTGCCGAACCCCCCAGGATGCGCACCAATAGACCCTGCGTATCCCATAGTTGCGCGGGAGGCACTGGCGACGGCGCACCCGACTCCTGGCAGTCTGGTCTGCGCGGCCACACCGGTGCACGGCAATCTTTAGGGTTCGCCCCTCCCACCCATGAGCATCGTTTATCCGACCCCTATCCTCAACGGCGCGGCCCGCTTCACCCCCCTAGATGGGGATGTAGGCCGTTTCCCTCGAAATTCGAAGGGTATATCCCCTTTTGGGGTGCTGAGATGGTGGGGGTCTGGACGGAGATGGTGACAGGGGTCGGTTAAACGATACTGAACCCCATCCCCTCCCCGTGGGGTCTGGACCAGAATATAGCGAGCTGTCACAGCGTCCAAGATGGCCCTAAATGGCTCCAAGGTGGTCCAATATTCGCCACCGTGCCCCCTGGCACGTTGAGGCTTGGTAGAATGCCAAGTGCTGCCCTGTGAGGTTTCCGTATTCCTATCAGAGCACCCCCACCCTCTACCCGCATCTGGCCGCATGTGTCGCTCCCCTTTCACCAGGCTCTCTGGGCGCCCCGACGCCTCCCTGGTGATCTCGAAAGCGTCCAGGACGGCTTCCGAGACGGCCCAGGCAGGCCACCAAGATGGCCCAACATGCGTCCAAGACGTCCCAGAATGGCCGCAAGACCCGAGACGCGCCTGTACCCCTACAGGAGTGTCTTTGCGAAATGCTCATTTCATCCTCCCGCCACACCTCCAACGACATACTCCATAACTCCTCTTTTTATCCTCGGTGTTCGGACGTGTCGACGCGACTTGAATGTCATGCCCATGTAGTACCGCGCCGTTGGTCGGCGATGTCACCGCATGCCATGCTGCTCTATGCTATGTTTCGTTGTGTTGTGCCGCGCCCACCACTTCAGAACTAATTTTGCGATGGTTGACCTTGTACTGTTTCAAAACGCAATGCCGTGAAGACACCCAAAAGGCTCTGAGAGACACGCAGAAGGCCCTAAGAGGCACCCATAAGGCCTTGAATTGTTTCATAACGCAGGACCTGAGAGACACCCAAAAGGCCCTGACAGGCGCCGCGCGATTCAGAGGAGGGCCCCATCTTGGGCCGCAGTTGGCCCACGAGGAGGCCGAATGATATGGATAAAATCGTCATTATTCGTCATGGTCGTCATTGCCATCTCGAGAGCCATTTGGTTTTCAGCATTTCTCGAACGCTGTTTCTCTTCGTGTATACAATCTCCATATTCGGTTCTCCATATTTCCTTCCCTCCATATTTCCATAGTCGAGGAGGTTCTGGCAGAGATGCCAGCAGATTGGATGCACGATGTGGTTGCTCTGGTTCCGATTGCTCCAGCAGCAGCACCCGTGGCCATCGCCCCAGCAAGTGGCAATTCTTCACAGATTGCGTCGAAGCGCCGCAGGTTGGATGAGATTGCAATTAGCCCTGGCCTGGTCAAAGACATCGTGCGTATGACTCCCGTGCCCTTGGTATTGAGCCTGATTGACAGGCACGTGGACGCGTTCATCGAGGCAGTGAAAAAGTCGTGTCACGCTGAAGTTTCTTCTTCAGATCCTGTGGACGGTGGCACAACGACTGTTCGATGATTCAACCCCTTGGATCATGATGACGAAAACGGATGAGGCACAATTGGTGGGGTCGCATCGCAAGACTACGGTCAAGATCACTCGGAAGCTAGCGGAGTTCGCAATCGTGTATGACAGACTTCGCCGTCACAAGCTTGACACATCGTTGGCTTCTACTGATGTGGTGACACCAGTCTACTACGTGGAGGTCGAATGATATGATGGGAGCCCCATGCCGTTCAAGCTCAGGGATTGCACGATTGATTCTGGACTGGAGTTGTTGGCGGATTTCGCTGCTGCGCTGGAACCTGGGTGCGTCAAGAATGGTGTGATCATTCCTTCAGAATTGCTGTCGTTTTTGAAGCAAGCTCGCACTGAAGCAGCGGTGGCACATATGCTCCAAATGGATTCTCGTCACGGCTACCTGGTGAAAGTGGTGAGTGGTGGCGTTTCTCGATACATGCTGGCGCACTCAACTACGCTCAACCGCTTGATAGTCATTGATCGGAATACGGGCGAGGCCACGCGTGGGGCGCTCAGGATGCTGCGGGCAGTGAGTTTGGCAAGCAACTTGTATGACCAGAAGGTTCGGGTCACCACGACTGATAAAAGGGGGTGGCTGCATCAAGTGCGAACGTGCCATATCAGAACAAGGCAGACGGGGATGGCATCACTTAAACTTGCACTGCACTGCGAGGTTCACATCACCAGTCTGGTTCACAAGAACTCGTTCAAGATCAACTCGGCGAATGTCACTGGAATGCCGCGGCTCGCGATGTCTCTCAAGCTCGCTGGGTTGACGGGGTCATTTCGTTCAGTTCTGCGCGAGGTTAGCACCCCGCCCCCTGAGGTGGTGTTTTACATGGGCATGGCGCTCAGACTCTTGAGTTCGTCAAGTTCCCTTGTCATCGAGAAGTTCGCGGCCTTGCACAGGTTCCCAAACGGCGACTGGCGGAACAAGTCCAACGTGGAAGTGTACGCGCCTGCGCTCCCCGACGGCACCGACCTCGACGCGTGGCAGGTCAAGCACAGGACGGCGGTGACTTAAGGCTTGCTGTTCGCTTTCGCGTCATCTGCCTTCAAGTATTACCCGAGGGACAAAGGACTGGCGCTGACGCTTGCATCGACCAGTGCTTGGCCCTGGAGTTGTGCCGCGGCTTGATGTCCAAGGCGTGCCCCATCTGGGCAAAGAGCATGGGAGCTAAGACGCCGGGCAAATCTTCATCGATTGTTCCTGTTCATGGCGTCAGCGCCTGGACCTGACGGCGGCGAAGGCGACGCTGCTTACGGCCAAGGCGGCGCTGCAGGCGAAGGCGACGGCAACGAGGGCAACGACGAAGATAAACGAGATGAGGAGCTTCGCCCGAAGGCAGCTTGCGGGTTCAAGGCAGAGAAGAACAAGAAAGACAGGCAGATGGGCATGGGCTGGATGCTGAGCAAGCCCCTCGCCGCTGCTCATCATGCGACTGACCATGGTGTCACTCACAGATATCATGGGCAAGCTTTAGACCTGGGCAACCCGAGATGGAAAAAGAAGCAACGGGTGAAAGAGTTCACAACGATATCGAGCGGTGGGCTTCTGGCTGATGATGTTACCACTGGCAGGGATTACCCACTTGTGGTCACCGCCGAGGGCGCGATCGAGGACCAGTTTCTTTGAGAAGCTCGAAACGCTGTTCACCCAATCAACGATGCGGTCACTCATTTCGCAGGACGACCGTACGGAGCAGACGAACGCTCTAGCGTTCAAGATGCTGTCTCGTGCTGGGTGCTTGGTGGCAGTAGTTGTGCGCGAACTACATCGGAAGAGTGCGTCCTCGGTGGGTTCGCCAAGCAGCTCTTGCACGACAATTCAGACTTATTGGCAGAGGGCGCCAGGATGCGCCTTCTTGCGATCGCGGCCTTGGCGAAGCTGGACATATCCCACATCGAAGCGCTGCGCGCCAGCATTCGGCGCCTCGTGGTCGCAGCCAGCCACCAGACCCACACCAAAGAAGTCGCTGATGCGTCTGCGGAGTGGGTTGCATCCCGTTGCAGGTCGCGGGCGCAGCACCCTGCAGGCCTTAGTCGGACAACCTTTGTCGGGGCACGCTGCGATGCGCAAATGGAGAATGATGAACCTCGCAAACCTCGTGGTGGCGGTGGTACCTGGCGAACTTTTATTGCCATGAACGGCCCTGGTGTATTCAAGGGCTCGATGAGCTGGCTGTGCACTACCGGCAACTCGACCCAGATCAGAAGGCGATCTACGAGAAGGCTGGCCGCGAGGCGGCGGCGGCGCACCAAACTCGCCCAGCCATCAGCACATTCGGGCACTCCAAGCGGCAAGAGGAGCGACTGATTCAAGCAGACCGCCGAGCTCATTCCATGCTGCAACTCGCCGACGCCGCGAGGAACCACGGCGTGCCCGAGAAGGCCGTCGTCGCAAACCAGATCGCTGCCTCGCACGTGGACAACACGTCCGCACTGACTGCCGCCAGACAGGCGTCGATCGACCCCGGCAAGCTGAAGGCCAAGGAGATCAGGGACAACGACGCGAAGCTGAAGGCCTTCGCAGTGGATGAGGCAGCTCTTCGCGCCGCCGCTGGGCGCGCATCTCCTCTCGCAGCTGTCGCCGCAGACCTCCAACGCGTACCTGAACGGTTGCGCTCCCAGTTCGAGTTTATCCCCGACGTCGGTTCGACTGTTGCGCAGGCCTCCTAAGCATCACACCGGGTGCGAAGCTCGGGGGGCATGACGAACTCGACAGCCCTGACGGCCAGCTGGTACCGCCGCCACAGCATCGCACAACACGACCACTGCGGGAAGATCGCAGACTTGCCGCAGAGCGCCGTCAGGGAGCTTCGATGTTGGAAGTTCGGGAGGTGCACATGCGCTGGCGACGAGAAGAAAGTCTGCGCCATTCGCAACGCCGCGCTGCGTGCCATCAAGAAGGCGTTCCCGCGGAAGTCCGCGCAATTCCCCTTGCTGGTGAATGGTAGCATATGGTGATCTACGCGCAGTTGCCGAGTGAGCTGCTCGCCGAGTGAGTGCTGCGCGATTGGGCCATCGCCGACGAGCTGTTGGTGGTCCACGCGGGCGCCATGCACCTCAAGCACTACAGACCCACGTGCCGCAAGATGCGAGTGGAGCGGGTCCGCGATGACGGCGCGTGGGAGTTGCAGGCTTGAGGGTAGGTAAAGTTTGAACTAGGCTTCGAATAGTTCAGCCAGGCTGGTGGGGGGAGAAAGAGGGGCGAGCGAGGTGGAGGATCGAT